GAGAGAGAGGGGGAAAGCAACCTCCCCAGTGGGATGGGGTCACACTGGAATTCCTTCCTCTATTTCTCTCTCCTGTTGGCATTTGGGGCACGCATGCGTGTGCACTTGGCATGTTTTTCATGGTCCCAGGACTGGGATTTGAACCAAGCAGTTAGCCATGTGGGTCCTGGCTCCTTTCAACACTAGACCATGGCTTTGGCTATTTAACTGAGCTCAGGTATTCATGCGCTCATTCTTTCTTTATCTTATATTTCTCCACCGCCTTCTCTGTGCTGGGGTTGGGTTGTCAGAGGAGGTAAACAGCAGCATGGCCTTAGTACTCGGAGCTTACAAGAAGTTGCAACCAACAAGCAAGCAAAATCGAGACCAAAGTTATTTTGGGTAGATAAATAGGTGGTCACAGGAAGCCTCTCTTGGGAGATGGTCTTTGAGCTGAGATCTAAGCTAGAAGAAAATGCCAGCCACATGCAGACCTGAGAGAAAAGGGTGCCACTGGAGGAAGTGGTGGTATAGGCATGGGGGTGGAAATAAGCCTGGCCCAACTGGAGGCCAGAGCAGGAGCTGGGTGTGGATCTCTCAGTCTTACCAGCATCTCCCCAGAGGCTGGCTCCACCCCTCTGCCCTGCACCTGCCACAACCCCGCATGAAAGGGCAGACCTCTCAGACCTGCTGCAGCTCTCTAGGACTCGGTATTGGTGTGTACGGCTGCCTTCTCAGAAGTACACGTGTCCCCACTCCCGGAGCCATGTTTGTGTGGAGGGGCAGCCTCTCCCACTGCCCTCTCTGGGGGATGGAGTTCGCTGCTCCTGCCACCAGGGCCCTGCTGGAGGCAGAGAGGCTCACTCCAGGTGGACTTGCCGGAGCAGTACCCAGGTGAGGTCCATGGCAGGCCCTCCTTCAGGCCCCCAGGCTGAGATCTCCACCACCCAACCTCCCCTTGTCCAAGCTGTGCCAAACAGGCAGCCACCCTGGAGGTCCAGCCTCCACAGCTGCGTTGGCGTGAGCAGCCAATTCACCAAGCGCTGTTCCCTTTGGGTCAGGTAGTCAAGGGCTTCTGGTGACGTGGATCTGGAGATGCCTCCTATCAAAGGAGTGAAGGAGTTAAGAGGCATTTGGTCCAGCCTCATTCATTCATTCACTCATTCCATGTTTGTCAAGCACATCTGTGACTCAGGCATGACCCCGGCACTCGGCGATGCACTAAACACGGGAACCACGCAGTGAACGAAATCGAAATGATTCCGGTTCTCGCAGACATTAGTATATTTAGGGGAATGAACAGACACGAAGCAAACCCGTGAAGATGTAATTCTGAACCACGACAAGTGAGGGGAAAGGCAGGAACAAGCTGGCAGTGCACTGCGGATCCGGGGTGGCCCAGCCGGACCTAACGGTGCAAGGCCGCCCTCACGGATGCCATTTGGAAGCCACGTGCAAATAGCCAGCATGCCTGTACTGCACGCGAGTGTCCTTCCTAGTGGCACCTGTAGAACGAGACACATCTGACCACTCTGAGTAGACACCTGCAGCCTGGCTAGTGCTGGGATCACGGCCGAGTCCTGATGGTAGTGAAAGCTGCGGCCTGCCTTCGTCCACACCAAGGCAGAGCAGGTGGCAGGCTCGTGCAGTGTTGTCGTGCAGGTGCCGTGATAGGCACTGGGGTCCCAGGGGTGAGCGCCCGGGGGTACTTGGAAAGCTATTTAACTGAGCTCAGGTATTCATGCGCTCATTCTTTCTTTATCTTATATTTCTCCACCGCCTTCTCTGTGCTGGGGTTGGGCTGTCAGAGGAGGTAAACAGCAGCATGGCCTTAGTACTCGGAGCTTACAAGAAGTTGCAACCAACAAGCAAGCAAAATCGAGACCAAAGTTATTTTGGGTAGATAAATAGGTGGTCACAGGAAGCCTCTCTTGGGAGATGGTCTTTGAGCTGAGATCTAAGCTAGAAGAAAATGCCAGCCACATGCAGACCTGAGAGAAAAGGGTGCCACTGGAGGAAGTGGTGGTATAGGCATGGGGGTGGAAATAAGCCTGGCCCAACTGGAGGCCAGAGCAGGAGCTGGGTGTGGATCTCTCAGTCTTACCAGCATCTCCCCAGAGGCTGGCTCCACCCCTCTGCCCTGCACCTGCCACAACCCTGCATGAAAGGGCAGACCTCTCAGACCTGCTGCAGCTCTCTAGGACTCGGTATTGGTGTGTACGGCTGCCTTCTCAGAAGTACACGTGTCCCCACTCCCGGAGCCATGTTTGTGTGGAGGGGCAGCCTCTCCCACTGCCCTCTCTGGGGGATGGAGTTCGCTGCTCCTGCCACCAGGGCCCTGCTGGAGGCAGAGAGGCTCACTCCAGGTGGACTTGCCGGAGCAGTACCCAGGTGAGGTCCATGGCAGGCCCTCCTTCAGGCCCCCAGGCTGAGATCTCCACCACCCAACCTCCCCTTGTCCAAGCTGTGCCAAACAGGCAGCCACCCTGGAGGTCCAGCCTCCACAGCTGCGTTGGCGTGAGCAGCCAATTCACCAAGCGCTGTTCCCTTTGGGTCAGGTAGTCAAGGGCTTCTGGTGACGTGGATCTGGAGATGCCTCCTATCAAAGGAGTGAAGGAGTTAAGAGGCATTTGGTCCAGCCTCATTCATTCATTCACTCATTCCATGTTTGTCAAGCACATCTGTGACTCAGGCATGACCCCGGCACTCGGCGATGCACTAAACACGGGAACCACGCAGTGAACGAAATCGAAATGATTCCGGTTCTCGCAGACATTAGTATATTTAGGGGAATGAACAGACACGAAGCAAACCCGTGAAGATGTAATTCTGAACCACGACAAGTGAGGGGAAAGGCAGGAACAAGCTGGCAGTGCACTGCGGATCCGGGGTGGCCCAGCCGGACCTAACGGTGCAAGGCCGCCCTCACGGATGCCATTTGGAAGCCACGTGCAAATAGCCAGCATGCCTGTACTGCACGCGAGTGTCCTTCCTAGTGGCACCTGTAGAACGAGACACATCTGACCACTCTGAGTAGACACCTGCAGCCTGGCTAGTGCTGGGATCACGGCCGAGTCCTGATGGTAGTGAAAGCTGCGGCCTGCCTTCGTCCACACCAAGGCAGAGCAGGTGGCAGGCTCGTGCAGTGTTGTCGTGCAGGTGCCGTGATAGGCACTGGGGTCCCAGGGGTGAGCGCCCGGGGGTACTTGGAAATAAAGCCCCCCCCCCGGCCCCGCCATGGGACTCCCTCGGTGATGTTCTGCACCGTGCCACGAGACGGATGGCCGGACTGCAGATTCCTGGGTTGTCCTGTTGCGCTTCAAGATTTGAGCTTGTGGGCAGATTTCTGTCGAGATGAACCTGGCGGAGTCTTGAGTGTGGCGCAGATATCAGCAGGTTATTTTCACCCTTGATGAAGTGGTGATTGCTTTGTCTTGGAGAAGCAGGGAGGAGAGAGAGTTCTCGTGGCACAACAGGCTCCTCTTAGCATCGGAAACAGAATTCGGGTCTGAGAAGACTGCTACTTCATCTCTGATCTGACTTTGTACCCATTCCAGTTTTAAGCTGCGTCCCATTCCAGAGCAAAAGCTTCCTCCTCGCCCTTTCCTCCCTCTCCTATCTTCTCCCTCCTCCTCTCTCCTCGCCCTTTCTTCTTCCTGTTCTTCTCCTCTTCCTTTTATTCTTTGGCTTTGGCTGGTACGTGGTAGTGATCAGGGCCTGCTACCATGGGAACACTGGGTAGCCCCAAGGGTCAGTGATTCAGAGGAGAGCTCATGGCTTCTGTTTTTCTCTGTGCAATGGGGACATTTCAATGCCGTGAGTATTTATTCGTGCACATATTTAGTTTGACCAATCTTGGGGCTTCTGTGAGGAATGAAAAGGAGTAAGTGGGTCAATATCCTTCCTCTCAGCAATCGCCTATCTCAGTGGGAACCTCCTATGAACGGGAACTTCCCCTCTCGAGATGCATGATACACTCACGCATGCGACTGGGCATAACCGAGCACAGGCCGGAGTGCTGGCAAACACCAGGCCCTGGGCTGGCAGAGGGCTCCTCCTGCAATGCGGGGCTCCAAGGAAGCCCTGACGCTTGGGGAGATCTGGGGTTGGAGGGCCCAGCACTCCCGATTCTGTTAAAGGGAGAGCGGGTGTGGCCGTTACGCCCAAATCCCTGTTCTCACGCTGAAGGGAGCAGGCTTCTCGGTCCCTGCCCTTCTCTCCCTCACTCAGCTTCCGTCCCCTAAGTACTTTTGGTATCAGACCCTCTCTGTCCCCTCTCCTTGCACTGAAGCCGTCCAGCCCTGTGGACCCTGCTCACACGGGGAAGCTTCCCTTGGCACTCCCAGGAGAACAGACGTCTTAGCACAACACAGAGCAGCCAGCGCAGTGCAAAAGGCCTGGACTTGGAACTCGGTCAGGCCTGAGTCTGGACTCGCGGGTGAGTCAGTCTGCACAGTGAGCGCCCAAGTCCTCTCCTGTAAACTGCTGGCGTGGATCCTGCCTCACAGGGCTGCTTTCAGGATTAAACCAGATAACACGTGGGAATGTGGCCCTCTGTGGTTACAGACGTCCAACCCATCCCCAGCTCCCTTCGGCTAAGTGCAACAGCAAAGAAAACCACCCAGGAGGAGGAAGGGTGGGAGCATTCACACTGTGGAACCCGACCAGGCTGGTCGTGGTGAGTGGTTCCTGCCTCCAGGAGTGGAGTACTGTGGACAAGTGACTCATCTTCTCTGAGCCACAGCTCCTCTGCAAAACAGGTGCCCAGAGCCCACCCTGGAGGGCCGTGCTCAGGGAGACCAGACAGGGCGAGTGAAGTGTTGCCCAGTGGCTGGCATGTAGAAGGTGCTGGTATCGCTGTCATGGCAGTCGTGGCTAAATTAAGGGCACAGATAGCAAACCCCTCAGTGGCATCAGGCGAGTCTTTTGTACCAACCTTAGAAATGATGAAACCAGTTGGGAATGCTGACTCATCGCTCCCGGCCTTCACGGGGGTTCGCCATCACTAACCAGGGCATCTGCAGCAGGAAGCTGTGTGGAAATAGGACTGAGAACCCCAGCAGGACTGGTTTTTGGAGTTGCCCTTTAGAACTCACACACCACAGCCTGTCCTCCTTAGCATCCACATGGAGCCAGAGCTCGTCAGGTAATGAGAACCAAACCCGGGGCAGCTGGCAGTCTGGGGGCGTTGTTCACAGCCTCCAAAGTAGACCCAGCATGCTGACCATGGCCCATCAGTCTGCTTCAGGCAGGTCAGAGCTCGGGGACAGGGGAGCCTGCCTCACTGCTTACTAGAGTGATGGCAGCAGAGGTAAAAGTTTAATGTGCTGATTGTCTTTCTGTTTTCAGATGCCCAGCAGGACCACATGGGCTACCTCCCCCAAAGAGCCCGAGGAAGGTGGCCACGCGACATTGACAAGGGGAGACTTGAGCTGATAGGGTGGCAGCACTGCTGCGCTTGTCATCTGCGCCGTCTGTGTCCTGGGCCTTCCCTAGGACTCGGCCATCAGACCTGGTTCAGGTATGTTCCTGTTTCATCAGTCCGTGGAGGTATTGTAGGTATGCAGGATGAAACAGCGTGGCCCAAAGGAACAAACCCTAGAACATACACCGAAATAGAACCACTTGCGGAAAACCAAAGGAACACGTGTCTGGACCGATTTTCCTGCTTCTTGGCAGGCTGAATGTGTGAGGTGCTAATATGGCCTGCTCTTGCCATGGGAGGGGTGCTGTGAAGCTCATGCTCCCTCTTCCCCCAGTGCTACTAGCAGCCATTGTTATTGTGTTCATATTACAAAGACTTTCACTCCAACCAAGTGCTTGCTGTCGACCAGGCAGCTTCCTAGACACACATCTTAGTCCATTTAATTGTCACCACAACCCTACAAATGAGGGTGCTGGTATCTCTTTTTGTAGAGGGAAAACCGAGGCTCAGAGAGCAAGGGGAAGATCCCAGAGGGAACATTCCTGGATCCCTGTGGTCCTAGCATCCAAGAGCCCACAGCCTGGTCATGACGGCTGTTAGGTTTGGAGAATGGATACATAGCTTGATCACACTGCAGACAGACCACAATACTGGATATCAATGCCAGTAGGTGACCTGGAGGAGAGAAGGTGGGAGAGGTGTAGAAAGCAGAGATAGCTGCCCCTGACGAGGCTGGTAGGATTTCAAGCGTGGGTAAAGATGGAAGGAGAAGGGAACCAGCAGTTAGCGTAATGGCTATGTCGCTGGATTCCCACGTGGTCGACCGCGGTTCGCGTCCCGGACCCGGTGGCTTAAAACTCACACCGGGCACGTGTGCGTGCGTGCCCAAGATCCCGAGAGGAGAATGGAGGAGAAGGGATTGCGGTGTGACCGTCCCCCCTGGGGGGTGATTTCTCGCTTTCT